TGGATGTAGCTTAAGATAAACCTTATCTCCTACTTGTAATTACCTATCACTGCTTCCTTTATTGACCAAAGCAACCATTCTTTGTTGGGCTCTATGTATATGGAATTTGAGCAGTTGAACCTTGCATTCCCTAGTCAACATACTTCTATCTATTTCTTTATCACTCGCCTCACTAGAAACATAAGAGAAATGAAGAAGTGGAGGCTGGCCATACAGTGCTTCATAAGGAGTAGTCTGTATTGCAGAATGAAAGGAAATGTTGTACCACCATTCATCTAAGGCTACGTACAAGGACCAATCAGCCTGGCTATCAGAACAATAACACCTTAGATAGGTCTCAAAGTACTATTTAAGACTTCAGTTTGATTATCTGAGTGTGGATGATAGGCAGTGGATATGCTCAGTGTAACTCCATGAATAGGAAATAAATTATGTCAAAACTTAATATGAAATACCAAATCTCTATAACTCACAATATTTTCTGGCTTACCATGGAGTCTTTAGATCAAGAAAGATTTGGGCCACTGATGCTGATGTGTAGGGATTACTGAGAGAAATGAAATGGCCACTCTTGGTCAACCTGTCTACCACTATCATGATGGTGGTTTTTCCTTTGGACTTTGGCAACCCATCAATAAAGTCCATGCTGATGTTGGACCAAGCAGAACTAGGAATTGATAAGGGTTGAAGTAATCCAAGATAGGTTGCTGCATCATATATACTTACTCCTTTGGCATACCAAGCATTTCCTGATGTAGGTGTTGACATCATCTTTTATCCCTTTTCCAATAAAAAAAGTTGAAATCCTTCTGTAAGTATTTTCCATCTCCAAGTGTCCTCCATTAGGATTGTTATACCTGTACTGTGAGATCTCCTATCTAATTGGATCATCTTTGCCCACCGCCGACTTGCCATTTCTTCTAACCTAATGATTGATATATGTGAAACCTTTTTTTGCCTTTATCTTGTTCTTGCACCCTTATGATAACCTCACTAACCTCTGGATTTATTTCCCAACTACTCTTGATCTTTTGCAAGAGTAAAGAGTCAGTGGAAATTTGAAAAAAGTGATCCACGAGTGACTCGACTCGTGGAACGATATAGGTCATTGTTTGGCTTGTGACTACCTGAGTGAATTTGCAATTCTTTCGAATCCACTTCATGGGTTGATAGTACAAATTATGGATTGTCTTCCACAACTCATACAATTATTCCAGGAAGTCATGCTTACACCCTCCACCCATCCTTTTGTTTCCTATGATAAATGAAATGCAACACCCCACCAAAATTAGGGAAAAGAAACAAGGGCTTAAGGGGTGATTAACTGTAAATTAAATAAACCCTGATCCAATCCTTAGAACTGAAAGTTAACATGTGTAATAAAATTAGAGGTGCACTGGATCAACCGAAAAGATTTTATACTGGAGGAGATCCAAGTCCTTGTTGGTATTATACAAAGTCGGTAAGGTTTGGCCTCTTTCGTCAACAATACGACCTACGTCACTGCCTTTACGAACTCTTTTACGGCTTTAACTAAGGGAAAAACGTCAAGTTCTATATAACATCAAATCATATATTCTTTAAAGAATTCTTCCACTAAACGACATTAAAGTGCGTTTATATCTTTATTATGTCTTTATAACAACATATATCCAAGAAATTTGTCGGAATTACGTCAGCATCAGTTAAAACGAGACAACTGTCTTCTTTTGTGTGGTGTAAATTTTAGATATGTATCTTAGATCTTAGTTTTTTAGTTTTTAACATATCTTTATTACTTCTTTTACAAGGAGCTTTCTAATACTTGATAAGTGGATTCAAGATCTCCATTTTAAAAAATGAAACATACAATTAAGAAAAGAAATTAAATATTGCAAGATCCGAATACTATTTATTCAAATAAATAACAATTTTTTGGGGAATAAAAAATTATTTACACGAGATTGAGGGCTTAACTCAATTGGTGAGCTTACTATATTCTATAGTTAAGGTGAAGAGTTCAAATTCGTCGGACAATGTAGCATCTCTTTTCCCTTTTCTACTTCCCCAATGTAATAAAATAAAAAAAGATATTTGTACACACTATTTATAGCAAATAAATGGATATATATATATATTGTTTACGAAATAAGGAGAGAATAGATCAAAACCAAGAGAGTCAACACAAAAAAGTTGTTATTTCTTCAAATATGTAGTAATTTTCAATTAAAGCACCACCAACTTGGTGAAGGGTTTAGGCTATGACCAACATGTACATAGACAAAACGTAACATAACATGAAGGAGGACATAACCCTTAACCTCCGATAGAAAGAAAAGAATGATAAAGTTCATTCTTGTGTACATTTGCTCAATTTACTCTGCCAATTAAGGGGGGTCTCCTCCATTGCAATTTTTATGTAAAAAGCATTTCTCTTCGTATTAGGAAGATTGAGGAACTAATTAACTCTTCTCTTCTTTGTCCCTTTTCTTTATAGGTGTTGTATGGGTCAGCTTGCGCATACCGTAATTAATTTCATGAGATACATGTCACCTAGCTTCCTCTACCAACAAGTATCAGGTAACTTTGTTTAGACTTAGGCAAATATATAGGAGGAAATTACCTAATGTTTTTGTCTTTATTGGAATTTGAACCTAAGACTTCACCATACTGAACCCACTTCATTGACCATTAGTCGAATCTATTTTATATATATATTTATATCTTAATTATGCAAATTGATCAATAGTTTATAAGATTATACACGTTTATCCCAACAGTTGTTTTTCTCTTCATTTGGACTTGTTTTCAATTATAACAATGATAGCATTTAAAACGAAAATATTTCCTACTTGTTGATCTAGCACTAGAAATGCATTCATAATATCTCATACGAATTTATATATGTTAAAAATGTGTTTTGACTTGAAAATTTGGTGCGCCGTTTATGTTGGTATACAAGAGCGTAGCCAACTTATAGCCACTTTTGGTGAAAAAAATTATACTATTTATATATAATTAAAATTAGTTTTTATATTTATATATAGATATTGAACCCATTCGACTAATTTGTGTGTTTATAGTATTGAACATTTTAACGGAAGAGTTTAATTGAGCTCTTTATATCCTTCTACCATTGGTGATTGGTCGTGTTTTACTATATTGTAACAATCTCAAGATTTATATGATAAAGGTAGGTGAAAAGATAAAAAGACCAATTTGGAGACAATTTGACAAATAAAGCAAAAATTAATTTTAATTGTTCTCAATTACATATCAAAATATTAATTATGAGAATCGCTCGTCTAAATTGCTAAAATAAATAATGGCAGATGAGATGCCTATTATAACTTACTATTTACCGTTGTTGGTTCTATCTCTATTCATAGAGTTTAAGTTATATACGTCGTCATTATAAAAAATAAAAAATTAATCAGACCATCAAATCACCTTTGTCTTTTCCATATATAATTTCCGTTTTTTGTTGCTTTAAAGGGTTCTAGTAACACTTTTTAGGCATTTTCCCCCACATATAAATTGAAGAAACTTGAATGAGTATAAGTGACTTTTTAGCAAAAATCACACAAAACACTTGGTGGATCAAAAACAAAGTGAAAATACTAATGGAAGAAAAAGAGGGGTTAACATATATCCATCCATCTTTAAATGCAGACAACACATATAAAGGGGGGAAAAAAATTCACTTTGCACCTCACATATATATCCTCATGTTTCCTTCAATTTCTCTATAAGGTGGAGACTCGAATCTTCATCAATAAGATGAAAATTCAATTAGTTAACCAACTGAACACTAAAATTTCTTGATCTCACTATCTTCTTTTTATGTTGATGTACTTTTTTCCAAACTAGTACCATAAAGTTTAGAAAGCAATAAGATATATAAGTATTACGAGCCTGTTTAGATGGGCTTTTAAGCTGGTCAAACTGACTTAAAAGTCAGTTTTTAACTTATTAGAGTGTTTGGCAATTAACAAAGTGACTTATTTTAAGTCAAAAATGACTTATTTTAAGCCAAAAGCTAAAAGCTAGGTGAGGGGAGCTTTTTTTTTTCAACTTAAAAGCTCTTTTATGTAGACCAAGTATATTACCTTTTTGCACTTAATTCTTTTATACAATTTCCAAATTGCCCATATTGAATTATTATTATTATTA